TCGTCTTTTATTGAATTTGCAGCTAGGATACATAAAGGGACTCATCTTAAAAGATTCTTCAGTCATATTTAGGTAATTAAAATTTTATGAACATATGATAAAATCACAAACGGCAGTGTTGTTTTTGACAGCCATCTTAAATTTAGTCTTTTGTGAGAGTTTTAGTTGGTTTTAGTCGACTAAAACTAAAAAGGTTTTAGTCAGTTTTATGTTGCAAAAAAAGTGAAACTTTACAATTTGTAATAAAAACCAGATTCTTCCCCAGACTGGCAGCTCTATCCTAGATGCTACAAAAGCTGGGTATAGAATGCTGCCGTGCAGATCATCATTGCTGTTGGGCAAAAAAACTTTGATTTATGAATTCAAATAACTTTTTTATGAATTAATGCCCTACTTTATTAAAAAGTGTCTCACAAAAGCTGTGAAAATAGCAGATCAAGTTCAACACATCATATTGGTTAATATAGCAGACAGACAAGCTAACAAAATATACAGTAAAAGAATGATTTTAGAAATATACGGTTTCCATCCCAAAGCAAATACTTCCTGATCTACTATGAATTATGCATAAAGACAGATCAATAAACATCTTCATTGCTCCAAAATGCCCCAGGGTCAACAGATGAAAAATAGCATTTTGGCTAATTCTGGTGCATCTGCAGGAATGCTTACTAATGTACACTTTCCTGTCAAATAAATAAATCTAAAAAATCCAAAAAAGCAAAGAACAAAAAATTCTTCTTTCTACTTTGGTAGATTTTGCTTCATTTCTGAGAATTTCCCCCTCGGTTACTGCTTCTCAGGGGTCAAAGTAGAGTTAAATTCACAGGGTTTGATATAAAAAAATACAGCGAGAAACTACATAATTGCCTTTGTGTTACTAGCCCAAATGCAGAACACACACAGAGGCAGAGGAAAAGTCCAAAGGTTTATTGAACACAGACTGGGTTCATCCTGGAGGGCAGAGAGGACAAAACAGGTTCAGGTTTAGGTTAACAGGGAGTCAAGATTCAGGCAGGCAGGTTGGCTCAGGCTTGCTAACCATAACTGGCAAACAATCTGGCAAGGAGGGAAGTTCTCCTCCAGCTTAAGTAGTTCCTCTTGATGAGCAAATGGGGAACAGCTGTTGTAGGTGAGCAGAAGCTCTCAGAAAGGGATCCACGGCGCCCTCTGGTGGGCAAACCTCTGGATCCCAACACCTACATTGAATGAATATGCTAAATAAAATGTTGAAATATTTAAAGGAAACAGAGAAAATGTTTTAATGACAATACAAGGAAACATTTACCCGTCCATCCATTTTCTAACAGGCTAATCCCAAGCTAATCTCCTAGCCTCGTGAGAACATCCTGATCTCGCAAGCTTTCAAGGTTTTACTCGCAGATCAGTCTGGAGACTCTCCGTTAAAGAAAATTTGGAGCCGCTCACCAAACGAACGTCCAATCAGCGTTGGCTTTGAGGCGGGTTGAGGTGTGAC